GTCTTGAAAGGCCAAGCATAGATGAATATTCCTGGAATAAATGTTATCCTTATTGCCATTATCTGAGTTGTGCAGGTAAACAAAGCTTTGTGCTTTCCTTCAGTGACTTGCTTCCTGATCTTGACTAAAATGACAACGTACGAAATGAGCAGCAAGGCAAAAATTACTATGAGGAGCAGCCCACCATTGGAGACCATCAGCAGCTCCGCCAGGTAGGTGTCAGTGCAGGCCACTTCCAGGACTTGTGGGGCATCACAGTGGAAATTGTCCAGGGTGTTAGGACCACAGTAAGGTAAAGGAAAAAGCAGAGAAATCTGTGCTGCAGAGTGAATGAATCCACCTGCCCAAGACCCTGCCGCCAAACCTAAACACACCTCACGGTTCATTATGGTCAGGTACTGCAAGGGCTTGTGGATAGCCAAATACCTATCAGCTGCCATCACTGTGAGAATGAAGATATGAGCACCACCAATAAAGTGGAAGAAGAATATGTGAAAGATGCACTCCTTGAATGGAACAGTTGTATTTTGGGAAAGGAGACCCGACAATAAGATGGGAGTATTCACTGATGCTGAGGTGACATCTGTGAATGCTAAGTTGGCCAGGAAGAAGTACATGGGTGTGTGCAAGTGGCAGTCAGTGATAACAGTAGTGAGGATGGTGATGTTTCCCAAGCAGGCCATCAGGTAGAAAATTAAGAAGACCAGGAAGAGGAATTGCTGGATCTTAGGACTCTGGTTGAAACCCACGAGGACAAATTCCTTCACAGGACTGGTTACATTCTGTGACTCCATTCATGACATCTAAGCATTTCTGTGAGAGAAACAATGTAGAAGGGAGCCTGAAGAAAGTAAGCTACTCAGCAGCACAAGGGATGATCTTTCCCCTTCTCTGGCTCAGAAACCTCTGTCTTGGTTTCTCTGCATTTTACAGTGGAAATTTGTTCAATGGAGGTAGTTTCAGTGCCGGGAACTGTTTTCTTTGATCTTCAGTTTTACTCATTTGCATCTATAGCCTTAAAATCCAGTGTAACTTTACAATTAATTGCTATCTTCAACAGACTTCTGTTTCCCCAGTAATGCAGGCTTTGCCCTTTCCTCACTGCAACAGAACTTATCTCTAAGATTAAATTTTTCCATTCACACATCAAGAGCCCTTATTCCACGTAGAACTACTTTGCAGTTTCAGAGTT